TTTTTAAAATCATATAAATAATGACTCTTTATTGATTACATTACATTGTCAAAAGATTTACATTTACTGTGCATGCATATTAAATCTTATTTTTATAACTAAAGTGATATACAAAAGCATGATGATTCACCTCAGCCAATAAGATTTGTATGAAGTTAAATGAGGAGGATGTGGAAAGTTAAACTTGAACAAGTAATCGATAGAAAATCCAAAACTTGAAAGAATAATATGAATTTTGTATTGTCATATTTAACAGAATTCCATGAGCAAAGCAAGCATAAAATTTCTGTGGGGGCAAAAAGAATATTTAAGACCGAATTTTTGTTTTATTTTTAAAACATGAAATATCTTTTGAAGTTCTAAAATTTTGGATAACTACGACCAAGAACGATAAATGTATAATTATATTCTATTGCTCCTCCGTTGCTTTCTTTCTTTCCTCAAAGTACATTTTGAGGACAATATTATTATTTTTTATTATACTAATAGTCGATGATGTCAACTTCATCATATACTCAATTTAATAAGTTAAGTATCTTAATTTTTTATTTTGGTTAGTTATTTTATATTACAGATATTGATCAAGTTGATACATAAATTTGATTATATTTTTAATATATCAAGTTAAACATACTCATCTTTGACTCGGTCAATTTTCTTGCAGTATAACCACAAAGGTTATAGAATTAACAAAAATAAACAAATATAGTTAATCAAGAAAGATATGCATAATATGATATAAAAGAAGATTAGATAGATAGACTAACTTAATCGTTAGAGTTCTTTTTGCATGTACCTCCAACGTTCTCTTAGCAAGATTGAAGGCAATTTGATACAGCATCCAAGAACGAGTGAAGAAGATCTTACACAAAAACTACTCTATCTAAGTATATTCTAGTAAAAACATTTTGACGTCTATGGTTTAACTCGAAGCCAAGCTAGGAGTTTTGCAGCAACAATAAATCAAAGAATATGACCATGGAAGATAGTGCAACACTATATAGACTAATAGACTAGATTGAAACCATGCAACAACAAAATATTGAAGTCATAAAAACGATGCGTCGTTAGCACGAAATTGATCTCCAGACATTATGTGTTGAGAAAGAAACCACCAGAACTCAATTGCAACAACAACAACCACAAAATGAATCCAGTCATGCCTTTAGCAAAGAAGAAGAAGAAGAACATTCTTCTCTTGATGATACACATTGATCTAAACATGCAATCACTCATAATCAATCTCACCATTTATAAGGTCATTACATTATCCAACGACACCTTTTTGTTGATGGAATAGTGGAAGTCCCCCTTCTTACAAGATGGAAGACATTAAACATCGAATGATATGATGGCACCTCTGATCCCGACTAGCACATTGATGCCTATATCACTCAAACGAATCTCTACACAAACGAAGATGTTATCATGTGTCGTGTGTTCCCAATCTTATTGAAAGGAGCAAAGTTAACCTGATATACTCAACTACTTACAAGATCTATAGATGACTTTGGCCCTTTTGTTCGATGTTTCACAATATAGTGTGCCACCAACAGACCTCATCATATTACCTTGGAGACTCTATCAAATTTGGGGCAAGGAGACAATGAATCACTGAGCAAGTTTATGGAACACTTTGCTAGCATCTCTATAAATATTTGCAATCTCAATTTTGAAGTTTTCCTACATTCCATGCTCATGGCCCTTAAAACGAGACATTTTGTTGACAGTTTATGTCATAGGCAACTAGGTAGTATGGACAAACTCTGTGCAAGAGCTACTGGGTATATATAGATGGAAAAACATGTTGAATTTTGAAATAAAGTCAGAGGAAGCACATCCAACAAAAATGAAGCAAGTGGTAAAGAAAAGTTGAACGTAGTCAATAGAACAAAGTTTAAGAGACATTGTCTAGTACGAGGTCTGAGGTATGATTTCTATATTCTATTAAATGCAACAACCTAACAAATGCTAACAAGATCTAATCTATTTACCCCCACCTGGGCATAATCCAACAAATGTTGACAAGAATATACATTGTCCTTACCATAGAAATTACGATCACACAACCAAAGAATGTTGGACATTAAAAGATCACATAGAAGAACTCATTCAAGCCAAAGAACTTGGTCAATACATCCATCATAACCAATCACATCGTGGATGAGATAGGGGTCGTGAACGTAATCAAAATTATCACGATCGTCAATATCAACAAAATGAAGAGCACCAAACTACGAATAATGCAAAACAAGGTAGAGATAACACTAATGACAACAAAAAATATCCACAAAGCCATCAACACCATTGCAGGAAGTTTTGCGGGAAGAAAAAGTACAAGATTGGCCAAAAAATGGCATTTGAGAAGTATTCACAATGTCAACAATATGACCAACAATCTTAATAAATCAACTCCTCCTACTATTTTTATTGATGATGATATGTGGATATCAAGCTGAATCAGACGACCCCATGGTTATCACAATAGAGATTGCAAACTAGGAAGTGCAGAAGACACTCATTAGTTAAGGAAGTTCTGCATGTGTTTCATATTGGCCAACCTTCCTGAAGTTGGATATTCCACACAACCTTGTCAAGAATTCAGTAATTTGCATAAATTACAACCAGAAGCTCTTCATCAAATGCAATCACCTTGGTCTTTTGCTTAGTGGGGAATGGACATAACTAGTCCTTTTCTCAAAGCAAAAGGGCAATTCAAGTTCTTGATAATGACAATTGATTACTTCACAAAGTGGTTAGAGGTCAAGGCTCTTGCAAAAATTTTTGCACAAAATATGCCAAAATTTATATGGAAGAATATAATTTGTAAGTATGGTCTACTACAAACCATTGTTAATGACAACATAAATTAATTTGTGGACAATAAATTTGAAAGTTTTTTGAATCAACTCAACATCAATCATCAAGTAACTTCAATAGAAGATCCTTATACCAATGGCCAGGCTAAAATAGCTAACAAGGTTATTCTTAGATAATTGAGAAAAGGATTATGTAGTGCCAAAGGGTAATAGGTTGAAGAATTATCTAGTGTATTATGGGTTTATCATTGCACACCACAATAAAAAAAGATTGGTGACAATGCGCTAGTGAATCTATAAGAGCTTGTCTTGTGCGGGTAAGATGAGGTCACTAGTGTTGTCAAGGCGGTTCATGTGATTCCTATTTTCTTCACACATGTCCTTGACGACATCAACAATGTTGGTGGTGATGAATCCATGATGACCTTTGAGAGAAGTTAGATTAGGAGCATTTTAAAAGAAATGATTTTTTTTTAATAAAATGGACGTTTACCATCAAAAAATAAAACTAATATATTAATAAAAAAAATTATCACCAAATAAATCTAAATAATTTAATTTAATTATTCATATATCTAACAATATTTTTTATTCTCCAACAATAGACCACATAACAATCACATTTTATTTTATTGGTTCATCCATAAATCACATGACAATCACATTTTATTTTATTAATTCACCCATAAATAACATAAATCATATGCAAACCTTAGATTTCTCATATAATTTATAACAAATGGTAATGAAATACTGCCTTTTAAAAACTACTTTTTAATTGAGGGGTTACAGTTTGGTGCCGTCGGATGAAGCACAGGGAAAGTGGAGTAGACATTTTTTAAAATTGCATTTTTACTAGCATTTCTTTTTGAAAAAATGAGACCAGCATTTAATACTTCACTTTTTATATATATATATATCAACAATAAAATATAATATAAATTTAATTTTTATTCACGATCGGTATAAAAGAAAATTATAATGTCAATTAATAAAAATAATTAATATGACTTTTAAAATAATCTTTATAAAAATTTAATTAATTTATCATGCATAATAATTTATTATTAAATAAGAATATAAAATTTATTTACGTTATTGAAGCATGTACTATCATTTAAATAACATTTTAAACTACTATAATTTTTTGAAAAATATCATTTTTTTTACGAAATATTAAAAAAATGATAGTAGTGAAAATTAAATTGAAGTGTACATATTTCTACTACTTCAATCCTTCCTGTTGTTGGCTAATCCTAGTGGACTTAAGTAGAAGAATCCAATTACTAGTAAGAATTCAATTGCAAACTTCTAGTAAAAATTTGTAAATATAAACTATTGTTTATTCTTATAACGTGGAGGTTATCACTTTTATCATACTATTATTAGTTTTATATATGATATATTTCTATTGTAACAACTAGACGTGCTTCTATAAATTTTATTCAAAAGATAAATATGTATATATATAAATCAATAATAAAGGTTATATAATAGTAGGTGAGTTGCAATTGGATGGTGAAGTAAATAAAATATGATAAAAAAATGTGTTCAAAAAATACCAGGAAAAAAGATGACAGTAAAAAAAAAAATGGACGGTAGTAAAAGGTATTCAAATTATAAGCTAAAATTGGTATCATTAAATCTAACCAAATAGATAATATATATATTTTTTTACGTCAAGAGATGGTATATCTTAATCGAGGATAAAATAGTCTTATCAAAAGTGAAAACTAACACAGATACAAAAAAAAAACAAATGTATTCCCTGCTTATAATTGTATAAAATTAAAAATTATTAAACGTTTTAATATTAATAATTTTTTTATTTTTCAAATTAAAAATATGAATACAAGTGTTCAGAGACGATATAATGCATCCTGATATGGTAAGAGAACAACATTGCTCTTTATTACAAATATGTTGTTTTTCTTTTTTATTTTAATTAAAAACTAAATTTTTTAATTAATATTTCCTATTTAATTTTAAATGACATGTTAACAAATAGAAACATTGCTTAATTTTAAAAATTATGAAACCAAATTTGTAATAAAAATTTTGGGAAACCAAAATTAATCATTCATAATATTATAAAGACCAAATAAACCTTTTGATTTTTCCACCTCTTTTTTCTAGGAATTACATTGAAGTTAGAAGCACCAAGGGAGAAGACAAATAAAATAAAAACAAAAAAAAACCATTGCTTATTTTCTGTGTTGCACTCAAAATTTTGGTATAGCACATAATAGATAATTTATATATCCATCTTACAAACTTTGAACACCCTTTATGGTGGAACTTTAGCATGAAATTTTTAAAAATACAATTCTCAACATTGGTTCGACCAAGGGGCTTCCTTTGGAGACCACCCAAGCCTTTTGCAGTCCATAACAAGCCCGTAGCCAGTTTGTTCACATACAAGAAGATTTCAACCGAAATTTACAATTAAAGAAATCAGATTTCCTGTACACACATTTGCACTGAACAACACACCTTTCTCTTCCCAACATCATCAAAGATGCCCTGAAAAATAATATAAAACAAAAATTCACGTGAGAGAAATAATAGCCAAATACCGTGTTAGATTAGATCCAATGAAAAAGGAAGACCATATGCTCACAGCTATATGTATCAATTACTACCATGTTTTTTAAGGTTGGATTGGATGTAGTGAAAATCTCATTCTGATTCTCAACCACGTGACCTTGTTACAACAACTCCAACCATTTATTTGGCTCTATTATATAGGATTTAAAATGAGCACTGCAGAAAATATTCTCTATTGAGATGCAAGTTGCTCGCATTCTATAATCAGTATCTAAAGATTTGTCCATATTCTGAACCTGTAGGACCCTTCAAATAGCATGTCTTCTAGGGAACTAAACTGAGATTACCATTGGATAAGTCATTGACAATTTCTAGGATGACTTTTAAGTCATCACAATCGTTTCATTAAATAAATGATGATATGAAGAGATAATAGCTGAAGTGCAGAATAAAGATCTAAATCCAAGGGTCCCCTATGGATTCTATTGCTAATGAAATTAGATTCATTATTTTCAAAGCTTTCGATTTTCTTTTATTGGGAAGGGGGGTATGTAGACGATTATTTCTTTTGTAATTTCATGAAACATTGTACTCCCACCTTTCTATTTTATTTGACATTTTAACATTTTTTTTGTTCGTTTTAATTTAATTGTCGTTTTTTAATATTAATGCAATATTAAATATTTTTCCAATTATACCCGTAACCATTATTGATGATTTATTTAAATTATTAATGAGAATCCAAAAAAATTGAAGCTATATTAGAAAGTTACATTATATATTTTAAAAAATCAAACGTTTTCTCCTGTTCTGTGCTGAAAGTTACATTAATTATATATTCAGTTTTTTTTATATATAATTTAGAATTAAATTTTACAATGTGAATAAAAATAAGAAAAAGGTTATGATCACTCACTCACAATTACAGTTGTGTGATGTTTTGTTATTAAAAGAATACTACTCATAACTTTGTTCACATTTTTTTAATTGGCTAAACCTAGTGGTCCTGGTGTCTAATTTGTCTAACTAAATAAGTGAATAGCTGTGAGAAAGTGACCTATATGGCAATACAGAATGTTTCTGTTGGGTTCTCTCATTATTATGTTAAACTTTAAGTTACTTTAAGACAACTTGTCCCACGTTCCATCGAAATGAAAGAAACCTTACATTATGAGGAGAATGACAGGATCACACAGCATATCGTGAGCAACAATCATGTACCCCATGTAACATATAAGTGGTGAACATCTGAGAATTTTGGGTACATTTTATATGAACATTTTCCTAATCAGATATTTGCTCATGGTAAGGACTCCTTAGCGTCTTTTTCTGCATTAATTATTGAACCAGGCCTCTTCGGGTTATGTCCATTACTTGGCAATAGAACAAATCTCATACCTACCCCAGCACTAACCCTATATCTCGATCGCAGCAACAAAAACACTTTTTTAGCCAACAATGGCCCTAGAAAAATTAAATAAGGTTCCCATAACCCATTACTTGCAACAAACACGAAAAGCAAAAATAGACAACGTGTAATTTGTCGCATCACAGCAACCAACTATTGAATTTTAATTATAATTGAGGAGTGGATAATTCGTGTCTAACATACTCCCTTCATGACTTTCTCCTATAAGTATAATTAATGACTTGCTTTCAGTCACCAATTCAAGTAATATTATTAAAACAATTCTACAAGAATGGGAATCTATAGCTTTGCACATTACTCTAAATTCAAGTAACCCCATAACGATTTGATTGCTACCTTATCAAACTAGAATGTGCAACATTCAGTAGACTCATTCCAAAGCAATTGAATGAACATTATGCCACCATGAAGGCTTAGCAATGCTAAAATGGTTTTATAATCTGCAGTTTAATTTCGATAGAAATAACCCTAAATAACTAAATATGACTATTAAAAGAAGAAAAAATTGATGATCTATAATTGAATAACAAAGTAAAAAATAACAAATTCCTTAATTTATGCGAGTCAATTTTATCCTTGACATTTGGAAAAAAGTAATTTTGTCCTATACTTTGGTAACTAACAATTGGGTGCCTAATAATACACTATGGCCCAATGTAGATAATCTACTCTGAACAACTTACTGGATAAAATAAATTAAAGTTCCTTATTTTCTTGTTCTATACAGTATGTTCTTAGAAAATTTTGAGCAAGATCTATCATTTTATTTTTGGTCGTGCCACAGGGATTTTAATAATCTCATTTGTCAAATCGTGATGACCGATGGTAAAGATTTTCACTTGATCAAACACGGAATTTCGTCATCCCATGTGTTTTATATTAGACTTGTGTAACTCATTAGAAATTTTTTTAATGAGATTCACGGTTAGTTTCAGTCCTTGCCTTAATTTAAAAACCCTAATATTGACATTTTACTCTTTGTCGGGAAGAACACAAATCTCACGTTAACTAGACATAAGACAATTAAAGAATATATAAGTTGAGAGTAACCCTCATTTTATAAGCTGATTTTGTAGGATTAAGTTAGGCTCAAATTCACTATTCTAAGAAATTATAAAAATTACCCTATATCATTAAAAAGGGTCACTCATCATTTATCCACATACCAAGCCTAGTGCTGGATGAGATTCGTGGTTAGTTTCGGTCCTTGCCTTAATTTAAGCTTTTTAGCCTAGACAACTAATGTGTGTTCTTAATTGTGTGGACCAGACACCAAATTGCCAGGTGGGATGTGAATTTGAAAACCCTAATTAACATTTTACTCATTATTGAAAAGAATCCAAGCCTCAAGTCTCAAATTGACTAAAAGATAAGGTAATTTAAAAATATATAAGTGAAAAATAATTCTCATTTTATAAATTAATTTTGTAGGGTTGAGTTAGACTCAAATTCATTATTCAAAGATGAGTTAGATTCAAATCCACTATTTTAATATGAGTTAGACTCAAATCTACTATTGAGAAGAAACTAAATCTCACAGCGAGTAGAAATAAAGCAATTAAAGAATATATAAGTAGACCTTACAAGTTAATTTATAAGGTTATGAGAACTATCCTAAATCATTAAAATGGATCATTCATAATTTATCTAGGTCTCAAGTCTAATAATGTTAGGTTTAGAGTGTTTTATAAGGTTGAATTAGGTTTAAGTGAGACCGATAAAGTTAGACAGCGACATTAGCATTAAAAAAGAGTGTAGAAATTAGATAAGAGAAAGTAGAAAGTAGTGACCGATAGTTGAATTGCGGAAAATGACGTCATCGGCGATGTCCATGAGCGGCGGGAGGCACTCGGGAGCGAACTTCCTGGCGAAGAGGTAGACGTGGGAGGAGTTGGAGTGGCGGAGGCGGTGGAGGAGCTCCGGCGAGATCTCCGGGGCGGTGTAGAGATGGGGGGGGCCGTCCCAGGAGCCGGTCCAGTTGACACGCGTGAGGGTGAAGCCGGTGCAGGCGTGGGGGTCGAGCATGGAGAGGAGCGTGGGGAAGTAGTGCTCCTCGGGGTAGCAGGGGTCGTCGGAGGGGCAGGGGCGGCGGAACTTGTCCCAGAGAGAGACGTCGCGGAGGACGAGGCGGGCGTGGCGGCGGGTGAGGACGAAGAACTGGGAGCCGACGCGGAAGGAGGAGAAGGGGAGCTGAGGGAGCATGGCGCGTGGGCCGCCACGCGCGAGGTAGCGGGCGTGGAGGTTGGGGTCGTGGGAGAGGATTTCGATGAAGCTGTGGTGGGGGTGGGAGAGGAGGAAGGAGTGGGTGAAGGGGAGGGAGAAGAGGGGGATGCAGTGCTGGGAGAGGAGGGGGGAGTAGTGGTTGCGAGGGTCGTGGAGGAGGGCTTTGGCGAGGAGGCGGCGGGCGGCGGAGATGAGGGAGGGGTGGGCGCGGGCGGTGGGCTTGGAGGGGATGAAGATGGAGCGGGGGAGGGGGGGGTCTGGGGGGGTGATGGGCTGCGTGGGGTCTGCGTGGATGTAGATGTTGAAGAGGTGCGTTTGGCCCTCCAAGAACTTGTGCCAGAGAGGGGAGAAGGAGAGGTTGGAGTTCGTCAGGAAAAGAAAGGCGATTTTGGGGGTGGCCGAGAGGTGGGAGGTCGTGTGGGGGGCCCAGCCTGCGCGCCGGAAGAGGGCCAGGTCGTCGGCGTCTGGCGGCGTCAGGAGGTGTAGGTGCTGGGAGAGGAGGAAGAGGAGTGGGAGGGAGAGCAAGAGAGTGAGAGAGACTAGTAGCGGGGATGACAACATCAACATGGGTGCCAGGTGCCAGGGAGTGAAAGAGTTCAGAGTTCAGAGGGGTTTTCTTCACTTTTCACTTTTCAGCTTCGCATTTTCTTTACACTCTTCTTCAGACAGCGGGGAAAAAATATTTATTTTCATGCTTTATAAAAGTCTGATCAAATGAAGTAAAAGGTAGTTTAAATTTATTTATATTTTAAAAAACGTGTGTTTCTATTCTTTTTCTTCTAACAATGAATAAAAGATATACAGGACAGATTAAGGAAGGTAATTAAGAGTATTTATTTTTTATTTCATATAAAATGTATATTATATTTACAAAAATATTATATTGTTCTTATTTATTGTCTTAAGAATAATTTTGGAGTAAGAACATTAAATAAAATTAATTTAATTAAAATTTGTTTATTTGGTGGGTATTAACATCCCCGTCCCCGTCCCTGCCCCGAGGAAAACCCCAACCCGATAAACACGGGTTTTCCCTGTCTAAATCGGGGCGGGTACCCACGGGGACGGGTTAGATTGTCATGCCTACACGTGATTTATGGAAGTTGTGTAGTGGATAGCAGTAGTGGATAACAGTTATACATCCCATGATGAGCTTACACGAGGATAACCGTTCCCAATCACCCCTATAAATATGAGAAATAAACTATTTCGCAGGGGTCAGAAAAATCATACTTGCACTTTCACAAGTACTCAATACCTGCGCATATGGCTTCTATGCACAAGATTGTTGGGTATGACTTTTTGGCCACTTTTTTCTTCTATTTCTAGGATTGTTTTATGTTTGTATAACCTAGTTTCATAGTTTATTTTCTTTTCCAAATTGTTATACATTGTAACTTGACAATTATGCGAATTGGATAATGATTTGTATTACCAACATATGTATTATTCATTCAGTCTATTTGAGCATCTACATGCATTAAAATTATTGCTTGATAATTATTGATGAATATCTAGACACTACTAGAAAATTGGTGTTTTACATCGCTATATCTACATCGGTTGTAGTGGAACCGATGTAAAATGGGAAAAGCGGTGGCAATCTCGTAAATAATTAGAAAATGTAAACATATTTACATCGGTTGGGTCGAGAACCGATGTAAATATGAAAGTTCTACATCGGGTTTGCTTTAGACCGATGTAGAAGTGAAGCCCAAAACTCTTTCTCCCAAATCTCTCCTCCTGTTCTCGAGTGTTATCCCAAACCCTAAAGTTCTGCTCGTGTTCTCCCTACGAAGTTGAGGTGGTTGGTCTCAACGGCCTCCGTGCAGGCCATGATGTTGTGGACGAGGTGAGTTCTCGACCCATTGGTAGGACTGGTTGACCATGGTGAGGTTCCAGGGGAGGCCGAAGCGCCTGAAGAAGTCGGCGTCGGCGCGGCTGTAGAAGCCCGCGTTGATGGCGTTGTTGCCGCCGAGGACGCGGCCGCGGGCGTTGATGGTGAGGTTCCAGGGGAGGCCGGAGCGCCTGAAGAAGTCGGCGTCGGCGCGGCTGTAGAAGCCCGCGTTGATGGCGTTGTTGCCGCCGAGGACGCGGCCGCGGGCGTTGGGGACTCCCTCTTCGGAGGTGAAAGGCTGAGCCGGAGAGTCCGTTGTGTGGGTGTTTAAGAGGTTGCTCAAGAAGCCTTCTTGGTTCATCAGGTTGGGGTTGCCGCGGCCAAGACCACCTCGTTCCAGTACAAGCACGCGGTACTGTAGGTTATGGAGGGCGAGGGGATTCCTGGCGAGGTGATGGAGGGCTGCTGGGTCCAGGTGGAAGGCGGGGGCGGAGGTGGTGGCGTCGAGTGCGGCCGCCGAGGAGAGGGGGAGGAGGGCCTGGCGAGGTTATGGAGGGCTGCTGGGTCCAGGTGGAAGGCGGGGGCGGAGGTGGTGGTGTCGAGTGCGGCCGCCGAGGAGAGGGGGAGGAGGGCGGTGTGGGAGGGAAAGGTTTTACATCGGGTGATCAAGAACCGATGTAGAATATCTTACACATTCTACGTCATCTGTAACTACATCGGTTTCAAAACCGATGTAGAATAGTCAAAAGAACCGATGTAAAATGTTGTTATTGTAGTAGTGAGAAGCATGTATTTATTAATCGCTCTATCTCATCTTTATCTCCATTCTTAAGAAGGCTTAATCATATATATCTAAATTGAAACATGATAGAGGTTATTTTATTGGTTATTTGTCTGAGAGAATATTTTATAAGGGTTATTTTTATAGGATTATTACACAAACATACTCCATAATGATGAAATATTGTTCGCTTTGGGTCTTAGCCCTCACAATTTTGCTTTTGTTCATTACCCAAAAGGAATCCAACCTGCGGCTCTGATACCACTGATGTGTTATTTTTTATCGGTATTTGTCTTAGAGAATATTTTATGAGGGTTGTTTTATATGGTTATTATACAAACATATTCCACAATGATGAGATATTATCCGTTTTGGGGCTAAGCACTCACGGTTTTGCTTTTGGTCATTATCCAAAAGGTCTCTCAATCATTGAAGTATGTTTTGTGTTATATAAGTTATTATTTCTTGTTTTATTTTATCAATGTAGGACTTGTTTGTATCCTAACAAAATAATTATATGCTAATTCGAGTAAAAAGAACCCATAAACGTAATTTTCCTGGCAAACAGTTATAGATTTATTTATTTTTATCATTAGTTTACAAATAACTATGAGCAACTCTTTCTGGTGAATTGCTTATCATTTATGCTTGTACATATAAAAGAGAGAATAAGAGATACTGAAAAGTGATAAAATATAACAAAACCCTATATAAAGTAAAATAAGATAGGCTAAAAACTTATTTTGGTCCCTTATAATAATTGTTTGTTTCAATTTAGTCTCACTTTTATTTTTTGTCTCAATTTGGTCCCTAATAAATTAATTGGTTTCCATTTGGGACTTCCGTCCAAATTATTTAGATGGAGTTAACTGTGTGGCCACGTGGATGCCATGTAGATGCATAGGTGGATGCCAATTTTTTTGAAAACACCTGGAACCAGAACGGCCCGTTATGAAACCAGAACGGGTCGTTCTGGTTCCAGACTGCTACGCATGAACGATCAATGATTATAGTTCACGGTTGTGAATCATGGAAGGAAAAAGACCCAAGGTACAAAACATTTCAAACACTGAATTTGGTAATATTGTTAATGGAAATTGATAAATTAAATTGTTAAATAGTTAGGATATACAGTGTATTATTAAGGAAACTGAAATGTATAAATAAAGAAAATGGTAGAAGATTTTATTTCATTTGAAACTGGAGTGAACCACTTACTATCAAATTGACACAATACAGTAAAGGATGAAATGACATAGTATTTTTTCTTGAAGTTATTAACGATGTACCCCAACAACAACAACCTGTTCTTGAAGAGGTAGAACATGAAGTAAAGGAAGATGATACACAAGACTAACATTTCATCACAACCATATGCAGGGACAGATCTAAGTTAATCATAGTGGGAGCACTTGCCCCCACTAAAATTTTTTTCATTCTTTTTTTTATTTATTTATAAAATATTAATAATTTTATAAAATATATATTATCAATTATATTTTAATTATGTTGTTATATCTAATATAATAAATATATTAATATTTTTTATATATTTTATTTTATTGTTTAATTGTTTTTTATTTTGTGGTAAAATTATCTTCATTTTTAATGAAGAAAAAATTTACTTACTTCAAGAATAAGTCTTGATAGATTTATTCTATTTAATAATTAATGTTCTATATCAAATTTTTAAGAATTTAATTGTTAAATTAAAAAGTTTTTCATGTATAGATCAAATTTATAAAAAATATTAAAAAATTAAAAATCATATGATACTTCGTTAAATTAATTCAAATTAACATATAAAATATTTTTGTTTTAAATGAATGTAAAAATTTAGAGGACACTAAAAGAAAATAAATTAATAATTTTATTATATTTATCCTATTAATTTTTATCATTTTATTCCTCTAATTTTAAATAATTATAAAGTGACACTTAAATATTTCTTCAGACAGAAAGAGAAAAAGAAAAAGTTATTACTCTATTTATAAGACAATTGTATTTTATAAAAATAAATAATTTTAAAATTTTTATCATAAAAAAATATTTTTCAAAATTATAATATTTTTTAATAAAATTAATAAAGAATATTCTATTCTCAGTCTTTGAACGGGCCGTTCTGAATCCAAAACGGTCCGTGCTGCAACCAGAACGGCCCGTTCTAGTTGCAGCACGGACCATTCTGGTGTACTGGTGGTGTGTTCATTTTGCATCTAGAACGACCCGTTTTAGATGCAAAATTAACACACCAAAAGTGCATCCAGAAAGGCCCGTTCTGAAACCAGAACGGGCCGTTCTGGTTCTAGGTGTTTTCACAAAATTTGGCATCCACGTGGTATCCACGTATGCATCTACGTGGCATCCTCGTGACCAACAGTTAACCTCGTTTAAATAATTTGGACAGAAGTCTCAAATTGAAACCAATTAACTTATGAGAGACCAAATTGAAACTAAAAATAAAAATAAGACTAAATTAAAATAAACAATTATTATAAGGGACCAAAATAGGTTTTTAGCCGATAAGATACGATAACCAATTTCAAGCGACGGAAATAGAAATAAGAAATTCAGCACCAATCATTTTCGACTCGAAAAGAACAGCTGACATAACTAAATATTACCTAAAAACTTTAATTCCATTTTTTCATCATTACTTTAATTCCATTTTAGTTGAAAAGTCTGCATTTTTTTGTCAATTTTAATTTTTCGATGGTTTAATATATAATTTTGATTTATTTATGATATTTAATGAGAATATTGATGTGACATTATATAAAGCGAATGGCTTCCGTATATTACATAAAATATTGTAATAATCACGATAGAAAAGAGTGGGTTGGATTTATATAATAAGAGATTATCTAATTTAGTATTTTTTTAAATATAATTTTATTTTAAAATAATAAAAATAATATTAAAAATTAATCACTGAAAACTGAAAAGACTCAAATTTAAATTTTTTTAAGTTTAAATATTAAATACAACTATCAAATATTAATAATTTTTAAATATTTTTAATAAATAAAATATAAAAATATGAAATATCTTGATCTTACAAATT